CCCTTGTCCAAAGCCCCTCTCCAGGTTTCCTGGAGCCCCTTTAGCCACGCGAGCTGCTCTAAGGTCTCTCCTTCAGGAGCCTTCTCTTCTCCAGCTGCCCCAGCCCAGCTCCAGAGCAGAGCTGCTCCAGCCCTCACAGCATCTCATGGCCCTCTCAAGTCACTAACCACAGCACTTGCACTTCATACCCACTGCAAAAATCATTACATGAAGATGTTCTTTCTTTGGAAACCCAGAACATCCGCCAGCCTGTGCATGGCAGGGAACATGCTTATGGGAACTGCTCGCACAAGTGCCCGGAGTGTAAATACCAACTTTGCCCATTGAAATCTTTCCCATCTATGTCAAACAGGTGAGGAGTAGTTCTTTCATGACCAACTCCCTCGCTGGGTTGGAATCTTTCCCTCCCTCCCTCCCAAAACCCCACTCCCAATGGGCACTCGGATCCAGTCCCCATAAACAGCTTATGGAAGGAGTCATGAGACAGAATGGGAAGTGCTAGTGAGGCAGTTTCAGCATGTCAGAAGTTCCTCTTTTAAACTCAGTTCTTCCCTTTGGAAAGCCACAGCTCACAGACCCCACCACACGATGAAGTCCTTCAATCATGCCCTGAGCAGGACCCTGCTGCCACTCCATTTCATGACACACTCTTCCTCTTCATGGTCAAGTGGCTCAAAGGCACATATTAAAAGTCCTGGTAAATTTTGCTGGTGAATCTCCAATTGACACTGAGTCCAAAGGGATGTCCCAGTTTGAAAGCAGTGTGGAAGACTGGTAGGTTTAGAGCTCTATCACAGTGCAACATTAGCATGCAGCCAGAAACAGGGGTGGAATTTCAGGAAGCCTGTTCAGGTTAAATACTGGGAAAACAACTTAACAAGACTACTTCCTAGGTGCCACAGCCAGATTCAGACAAGACACAGTCTCTTACAGTAAATATCTTAACAAGAATACTCTAACTATTAGAAAGGCCTAAAATTAATAGGGGAAAGTACAATTAATTTCCTATATTACATCTATCCAGAATCCAGGAAAGAGATATGTGAAAACCAGAACCTCCCTTAGTTTCTAAGGAGAAGCATTTAAACCAGCAGCACCAGCCATACTTCCCCTCGTACTAACACATCCAGAGCTGTGGATTTAGCCTCCTCTGAAGTGCAATGTCCTGTACTGGATCAGACCCAAAGCTTGGTCTCCCCTCCAACAGCACTCAGCACTTCTCACTGCTTCCAACCAAGCCAAAGGCTCCCCAGAGTCACAGCAGGACAGAACCACCCCATCCACAGGTGCTGGTTCCCATCATTAGCTGGATACTGGTTCCTCATTAAACAAGTCTGTCAGGCTGTTTTAGGATTAATGTGCCAAAAAGGAGCACCGGGAGAGTCTCTGGCATAAGTGTGTCCTGAACCTCATACCCTGTTCTTCCAGTTTCAAAAACCCAAACCAACCAAACAGCAGCCAAAAACACCACCAAAACCAACCCCCCTGCCCAAACCCAACTTACTCATCTGCACATCCACCTCTTCTTCTGCATCACCAGGTGATCTCTCTACTGCCTTCCCTGTACAACTCAGTGACGGGAGCAGCTGTGGGGTTCCATTCACACAGATGCCAGAAGGAGGCAGAGTAATTTCTTTATTCTGTTTTAAATCTTACACTTTTCTTTACCCAAATGCCTCCCCTGCCAGGGCTGGGTCCTTTTGGGGTAACCAGAGCAGAATATGTAACACTTAAGGCACGCTGTGTCAGCATTGCACCAGTCTGTACTAGCCAGCGTGGTCGTGGTGGTGGTGAACAGTGAAGCATGTGCATGATGCTACTCAGGCCTTCCAACGAGTAGTTGCATTCCCTTGAGCTGTATGACAGCATTCAGACCTGGCTTGTCTGAAATACTCTTCCCTGGCTCTGCTGTACCACATCTGCCATCATTCCAGCTGCTCTTTAACCCTGGTTGGACCATTGGCTCTGCCTGTTCCTTCCTCGCGTACAGGCACACTCATCCCTCACCAGCTAAAACCACTCCAACACTCTCACTGCTGTGGGAAGCACAATATAATACATTGCAGAGAGAAATCTTTTGCTGTTTTATCAAGATGAAAACTTATTTTCTCCCTCAAGTGAGAAATACTGAGCCACATCGAGGTAAGTGGTTTCAGAGGAAAAAGGCACACACCAGTTTCTGTGAAGTGTCTCCTGCACCCACGTTTCCAACGCAGCAACTGCTCCAGTCTCATCCTCAATTGTTTCAAATTATTTTGCCCTTAAAAACACCAAACTCCTCCCACTTTGACAGCAACAGTTAGAAATGAAGTCGCAAGTGTGTAAACAGAACACTCGAAAGAGAAGCAAAATGTCTAGAGGAAGGACAAGTATATTTAAGACAAATCCCTAAGAGTATCAAGTTAGGAGTGTCAGTTTGACTTACAAAGAAACTGGACAATGCTGGGCTGCCCATTTCACCAGTGTGGGTACAAAGCAGGAGGAGTTCCCAACACAACACGAAGTGGCAATATGATTTTTTGGCAACACCTTTGTATCTGTCATGAAGCTTTTAAATACCTTCTAGCTTCTTTACTGCAGGCAGCAACTAAGAACTGTCAGCAGACTGGAGGCAAGTGATAATGAACTGGTGCTTGAAGTGTGAATGTGAAAAACAGTTACAGTTTTTGACAGCCACAGCACCACGGACAAAACTTGGATTTGAATAACAGTGTTCAGAGAGATCCATGTGGGCTGAAGGCAGTTTGAACCCTCTGCTTCCTGATAACCATTATCTGTTCTTTAAGATTTGTTTACTTACCCCAGGAACACACATTTTTACTTCTTTATTTTCCTATTTATATTTCTGGCAAAACAAGAGCATGAACTAAACCTAAGCTGGTATTCCCCCTGTGCTGGGCACTGGTGAGGCTGCACCTCAAATCCTGTGTTCAGTTCTGGTCCCTCACTGCAAGAGAGACATTGAGGTGCTGGAGCGGGGCCAGAGAAGGGCA